CATCAACACATGTTGTTTTATCAGAGAAAATCATGCCTGTGCTATCGCTGGTTGTGGCTCTCCTCTGGCTTTCCTGTGCTCCTGTGCTGGTGGGATGTGCTGGTGTGAATGTTCTTTGGTCAGTTGGGATGCGCCTGACACGAGCAAGCGTGTTGATACCATATATGACCCTTTTTATCTGTTTCTACCACCATCAGCCCAGATACAAGTGTAAAGCACGCATTGCTGGTGCATCCGGTGTGCCTCTCTGGTTTCTGTGCTCCTTTCTTGGTGGGATGAGGTGCTGTCTGTGTTGCTCAGCTGGAGGCGCCTGACAGGAACAAGCGTGGTGCAGCCTTATATGACCGTTTTTATCTCGTACCATCATTGGCCCAGGTAGACGTGTAAAGCCCGGCCTGCTGGTGCATTCGCTGTTTGTGGCTCCTCTCTGGTTCCTATGCCTCTCTGTGTTTGTGGGCAGCTGAAGGCTTAACCCTAACAGCTAGAGGAGCAAGCGTGGTGATTCCTTCTGTGACCCCTTTTATCTGTCCATATCACTATCAGCCCAGGTAGACGCGTAGCGCATAAGTTGCCACTGCTTTCGCTGGTTGTGGCTCCTCTCTGGCCTTACTGTGCTGTCGTGTTGGTGGGATATGCTGGTGTGAATGTGTTCTGATCAGCTGGAGGCTGAAGCCAGTTGAAGCCTGTCAGGAGGAGCAAGCTTTCGCTGGTTGTGGCTCCTCTACTTTCACTGCTCCTGTGTTGGTGGGATGTGTTGGTGTGAATTTCTGTTCAGCTGGAGATGGAAGCCTGTCAGGAGCAAGCACGGTTGTCATTTCTAAGAAGCAAGTGCGGCGATCCTTTCTAAGTCCTTTTACCTGTATTGCCATCGTCTTCCCATGTAGACGTGTTGAGCACGCGTTGCTGGTGCATTCGTTGTTTGTTGCTCCTCTCTGGTCTCTGCGCTTTTGTTGGTGGGAGTTGTGTGAATATGTGCGTAGACAGCTGGAGGCTTTTTCCTAACAAGAAGAGGAGCGAGCGTGGTGATTCTCCTATGACCCTTTATCTGTGTTTACCATCATCTGCCCAGGTAGTTGTGTGTATGTAAAGCACGTGTTGCTGGTGCGTTCGCTGGTTGTGGCTTTTTTCTGGGGTTCCTGTGCTCTTGTGTTGGTGGGATGTGTGGTGTGAGTGTTCTCTGGTCAGCTGGACGTTTAAGTCTGTCAGGAGCAAGCGTGGTGGTTCCTGGTATGACCCGTCCATCTATCTTACCACTATCAGCCCAGGTAGATGTGCACTGCACGCATTGCTGGTGTTTTTTGCTGGTTGTGGCTCCTGTTAGGTTCCTCGCCTCTCTCTTCATGTGGACAGGTGGAGGCTGAATCGAGCGTTGTAACTCCTCCTGTGACCCGTTTTCTGTCCATAGCACCATCAGTCCAGGTGTAGCGCATACGTTGCTGGTACATTCGTTGGTTGTGGCTCTTCACTCTGGTTTTCCCGTGCCTCCTTGTTTGTTGGATGTGGTGAAATTTTCATGGACAGCTGGGGGTTGAACCCTAACAAGTGAAGGAGCAAGCGGGGTGGTTTTTCTACATTCCCCGTCTTTCCAGTTTGCCTATACCACACCATCATCACCACATGTTGTTCTTTGAGGGCATGTAATGCTGGTGCATTTGTTGGTTTGCACCTCTTCGTTTGCTGCCGTGTTGTTGGTGTGAGTGAAATATGGACAGCTGGAGGATTAACCCTGACAACCGGAGGAGCATGCGTCTGTCTACATATTCCATTTTCAAATTGCCTACACATCACGCCAGGTGTATGTGCAATAGTTCGGTGCATTCGTTGGTTGTGGCCTTTGTTTCCTGTGCTGCTTTGTTGTTGGTGTAAATGCCTGATGGACAGCTGAAGGCTCAGTGAAGGCCCAACCCTGAGAGTCGGAGGAGCAAGCAAGCGTGTGTACTTGACTATAGATTCCCTTTCTATTCTGGCCACATGTATCGGACCGTGAAGGTGCATAGCACGTGTCCTGCTGCATTCGTTGGTTGTGGCTCTTTGTTTCTTGGCCTGTTGTGTTGTTGTCTTGAGTGTGTTATGGGCAGCAAGAGATTGGATGTTGACAATCAACGGAGCAAGGGAGTGTCTCTAGCCTATCTTCCTTTCCCTTTCTGTCCACGCATATCAGACTAGGTGAAGTGAAGGTGCATTGCACGTGGCCTGCTGCATTCGTTGGTTGGTTGTGGCTCTCTGTTTCTTGGCATGTGTTGTTGGTGGTGTGAGTGCTTAATGGGCATTAAGAGGTTGCATGGTGACAAACGGCGGAGCAAGGAATCGTCTCTAGCCTATCTGCCCTTCGCTTTCTGTCCACACATATTGAACCAGGTGAAGGTTCACAGTACACATTGCTGGTGCATGCTACAGTTGGGGCTCTCTGTTTCCTGTGCTGCTGCGTTGGTGGGACGTGGTGGTTTGATTGTTCCGTCGAGAGCTGGAGGATCAATCTTGCAAGTGGAGGAGCGAGCATGTGTGCCCTAAATAATATATATCCTCCCTTACAATCTGTTCACACTTCTATCGGTCCAGGTAGATGTGCAGAGCATGCTTTGCTGTTGTTGCTTCCGTTGGTTGTTTCTCCTCCCTGGTTTTCCTGTGCCGCTGCGTTTGTGGTATGTGGTGGTTTGATTGTCCTGTGGACAGCTGGAGGAGCGAGCATGTGTGCCCCTCTATTCTATATCCTCTCAATGTGTTCACACTACCATCAGTCCAGGTAGACGTGCGGTGCATACACTGCGTTTGTTGTTTCTTCTTCTGTGTTGTTGGATATGGTGGTGTGAAAGTTGTGTGGGCAACTGGAGGGAAGAGCAAGCGTTGCGACTGGTGCCTTTCACCTTTCCTAATCCCATCCTGTATTTTCTATCAGCCCAAGGAAATGTGCAGAGCGTGCTTTCTGCAACAATCTTTTCCTTTGTTGGCTCCTTGGTATTGTGCTCCTGGTATATTGTGCTCCTTGTGTATTCGTGTCGGTGGGTTGTTTGTTCTGGCAGGATAGGTGCAAGACGTGCCCTAGTTGGACTGGAAGAGGAGTGTATGGTTCTACCATACTTCCCTTGTTGCGCAGGTAGTTCCAGTACATGTATTTGCTGCTTGTGCACTCTTGCCTCTCTTGCCTTTTCTGTCTCGTGCTGCTGTGGCCGTGTGACATTGGGATGTGTGTCAGGCAGGGAATGTCTACCGTGGGTCACCATTTTTGAGGTGGAAGGCAATCCAAGCTGTCACCACCTGCCCAAAGCAGCTGTCTCCACTAGTGTTTCTTCTGCCGTGCGAAGCAGGTTTTGAGGTCTTGGCTTTTTTCGTTTCTATGATATTGTGTGTTGTGGTGCTGTGGTGCTGTGTCTGTGACTAGCAAGTCGGGGAGGAGTTTACCAAATCTGCAGCGGTCAGACTGTTTTTACTTCCTCATTTTCTGCTTGGAGGCAGGTGCCTGTACCACCATGTCTTAACTGTGCAAGCACTTGTTACCACACGTTTGGCTCTTGCTTTCTCTGTTGTTCCTGTGTGTTGGCAGGTACATGCGCTTATATCTTGCCTCAGCTGGAGCAGAGGAAGAGGTGTGGTGTTGTTGTTCCTAACTCTTTCACTGCATTCCATCTCTTTGTTGTGCAAGTGCTTGTTACCACAGGTTTAGCTCTTGTTTTCTCTGTTGTGTGCCTAGTTCCTGTGTGTCTTCGCAGGTACATGCACATATGACTTGCCTCAGCTGGAGCAGAGGAAGAGGTGTGGTTGTGTTCCTTTTTTAACCCTTCTATGCGTTTCCAGTTTCCTGCCCTTAATTATTCCTGCCACATATGCATATGCATTTTCATACATTTATCCATTCATGCATTTACCATAAGTGTGCATGTATGCACTCACCAATATACACCCATATCAACCTCATGATATATCATATGCATACAACATATGTTACTATCTCTCGACAATGATGAGGCAACTGCCTTGGATTACCCACTCAGTTAGTGGGATATGGCTGAGTACACCCTCCTGGGTATGCACAGCAGGCCATACTGTTGCCACCCTCCATGGATAGAGCTCTGGCTCTTTTCTTATGGTATGCTATGGCATTCCAAGGCAGTAACCTGAGTCCTTTACACAAATGTTTAATCATTGTACATACAGAAGGACTTGTACATTTGTTATACTGTTTATGCTGACAGTCTAGTGGTGAGTTTCAGTTCTCCTGTTCCATTGAGGTTTTATGTCTTCCCTGCATGCTGTACGGGTGGCTGGCTGTGCACTTACTGTGACTGTCGTCTGTATTTCTGATTCTATATATCAAGTGCACTTCTGCTCTTGAGTCCTGGGCTTGCAGCTTTGATATCTGATTATAGTCATCAAGGTCAGTCATCATGTGCCAGTAATGGTGGTGCCACTCCTCCTGACACTGTGTGGAAGTAGTTATCTAGCATTTGTGCAATTTTTGCATTATTGCTCTACTTGGTTTTTCCGCAGCTACATGTGTCGTGTGTTATGCCATTTGGGGCTTATTGTGTTCTATCCGATTTTGGTTTTGTGTGACACTGTTCTAGCTAAAAAAAAATGCTATATGGGTTGGAGCAATCTGTCAAACTCTATATTCATAAATATTTAGAGAGTTCAGGGTTAGGGTTTTAGAGTTTAGGATATCTATCTTCGTATGTTAGGCTGTAGTGAGGTATGCTATTGGGAGGACAACACTTTTAGGTTTCTTGCTGTCGTACTCTGAGATAGTATCATTCGGGTTAAAAAATGGCTGTTGATTCAGTCAAGGTACACAAAGGAAATATGAATTTACACTGAATCAGCGTAAAAAGGCCGAAATCTAGGGCCTTCGCAACATCCTCGCTAAGGGAAGTCAAGTGTAATATATTGTTTTTTTTTACACGCGCTCATTTACAACTACAGGCTAAACATCTTCTGAAGAACCATCTCTTGCTCTAAGTTCGCCGTGGACCTTCCGCTGCCCTACTTCCCGCCACCCCCGCTGTATGCCGTTGCCAGTTCCTCCGCCGCCATGCGCGGGCGACACGCTGTGCGAGGCGGCGGTGAAGGTGCTGCGCACGGCGGACCCCTGGAAGAAGGCGGACTACGGCGACCTCGCGGCGCATCTCTGGGCCACCGGCGCCATTCGCCACGCTTACGCAGATCGCGCCACGCTTCGGGACGGGAGCTTGAGCAGCGGGAGCGCGGAAGCCCGAAGCGCCGGGTCACAGGGAGATGCAGACGCGGGGGCAGCGGGTAGCGACGAGGAGCAATGGCTTAGCGTGCCGGACCGCCCTGCCAGAGACGACACCGTGAGCACCGCGCACCCCGTCTGGTGCTCTCCTAGCATTGCCCCCCCCCCCTCGCGTGTTTACCCACCCCTAGTCCCCTCCTGGCCCACCTGCTGCTTTTCCAACCCTAAGCCCAAAACCTGCTACTGTTCCGAGTTCTCTAACCCGGCGTCGCGCCGTGTGCGTTCCATCCCCTGGCGGCAGGTGCGCGTGGTGGCGGCGCGCGACATGCCGCGGCGCGGCAAGGGCGGGTCGCAGCAGAGCCGCGTGGCGCTGCTGCACAGCCTGGTGCACATCGAGAGCTGGGCCGTCGACCTCGCGTGGGTGCGCGCTCGCCCAACGCCCGGGCAGGGGCTTGGGGTGAAGGGGACGGAGGGATCATAAGAGTGGCAGGGGAAGGTTGGAGGGGAAAGTGGGCGAGGGGAGTGTAGGAAGGCATCGCAGCGCGCCAAGCCACTTGGTGTTTGCGTGTCCACCAGCTATCACCCTTTCCATTTACCCGCTTCCGTGCTGATCCCCCTACCAACCCTCCCCCTCGTCCCCCCTCCCGCCGCTCCCTCTCATCGACCCTTTCAGTCGCCCACTCCCTTAGCCAATCCCCCTTCCATCCCTCCCCCTCGTCCCCCCTCTCGCCCCGTCTCGCCGCACCCCCCACGCCCGCGCGCAGGACATCATAGCGCGGTTCGGCAGCGCGCACAGCATGCCGCGCGCGTTTTTTTCGGACTTCGTGCGCGTGGCGGAGGACGAGGCGCGCCACTTCCGCCTGCTGGCGGCGCGACTGCAGGCGCTGGGGTCGCGGTACGGCGCGCTGCCCGCGCACGACGGGCTGTGGGAGTCCGCCGCCGCCACCGCGGGCGACCTCAAGGCGCGCCTCGCCATCGAACACTGCGTGCACGAGGTGGGGGGAGGGGGGGGGGGGGGGGGCAGGGCAGGGGGGGCACGCGGGGGCAGACAGGGGCAGGGGGGTGGGGTGAGGGGGCAAGGTGGGTACATGGGCAGGGGGTGGTGAGGTGTGGGTGTGCGGGAAGATGGAGTGGGACTGGGCGGTGTTGGAGAGAGTGGGCAGAGAGGTGTTCTGGCATGCTTGTCCTCCGCAATCCCCATCCGTCTCTCTCACTACTAACCCGTCTTGCCCATGAAATGGTAGCGGCAGTGTACGCAGCTAGTGCAGCTCTCCTTGAACATGCTCCCAGGCCAGCCCCCTCCCCCACTCGCACGGGCTGCGTCAACAGTACTCACACTCCTCCCTCCCCTCTCTGCTTCGTGCTCCCCTGCTTTCCACCCACCATCCACCCATACCCCTTGCCCCTGCTCCCGCCTGGCAGGCGCGGGGGCTGGACGTGGTGCCGCAGACGATAGAGCGGTTCAGGGCGGGCGGGGACAGCGAGACAGCAGAGCTGCTGGAGCAGGTGGTGTACCCCGAGGAGGTCACTCACTGCGCTGCTGGTGCTCGCTGGTTCTGCTTCCTCTGCCTGCGCGACCTGCGCGCGCGACAGGGAGGGGAGGGAGGACGTGAAGAAGAAGCAGCAGGTGGGGGGGGAGGAGGTGAAGGGGGGACGTTGCGAGGGGAGGCATTGGGGAGTGAGACGGCAGCAGTGGGAAGGAGCGAGAGCGAGGATGGTGATGGGGATGGGAAGGACGAGGTAAAGGCTGAGAGGCCTGGCAAGGCAGGGAATGAGGGTGTAGGTGGTGCAGCGGAGCAGGGTATGGGTGAGGAGGAGGTGAGTGCAGAGGAGCATGCGGCAATAGTGGCGGGGTTCCATGGCATTGTGCGGCAGCACTTCCGTGGCAAGCTCAAGCCGCCCTTCAACCACGAGGCACGCGCGAAAGCTGGGCTCACTCGCGACTGGTATGAGCCCCTTGCGGAGTGAGGACGCGGTAAAAGTGTAGGATCGATCGCCTCAGGTTCGTTTTCTAACGCGGCTGTATAAGGTTGTGTACTTTTTGTATGCGAAATGTGGGATTTCAGTGCGGTAGCCAGATCGATTTCCCCCCAATCGAGCACTTGTACCGCGTCCTGAGCAAGGCAAGCATGCTGCGTGCAAGCAGTAGAGTGACATTGAGCTCAACACTCGCATTCCATATTCAGTAGTAAATAAGTTTCTTAAACTGAGTTGAATTAAGTGAAGAATGAAAGGAATCTCAAAACAGTTGGAGAGCTAACGTCCTTGGGTCACTCACATGGGTTACAAAGCTCAAGGTTGTAATTTTCTACCTTGTCCATACTTCTAGCATGTGTATTCCTAATACCGTAGGAATTTCCTTTTCACTGGTGACTATATGAAACGCGAGTCACTGTATCACAAAACTCGAGGTTGGTTTATTGGCATTCAAGCGTCACGAGCACGACTCCCGCCTTTCCCGCCATTTCCACGGTTTCTCAGCTCAGCACTTTATCCCTCGAGCTTGGCAGAGCAGAAATCAGTCAGTTTCCAAGAGGCCGCGGAGCATGTGGGAATGCGAGAGTGCTGGAGATGCAGTTCCCGAGGAGCTTAGGAACCGCCCGCAAAGGCTGCCTCATCTCCCCCCTGGTTGGGAGTGCGAGGCAGCGTTGGCACTCTCTAGGTCGCCCACCAGGCAGCACGTCACAGCCAGTGTGATACCAGCCTAGCAGCCCAGAGCCTACCAACCATCTTCGTTGCCCATTCCAACCTGCGTCGATCAAATTTCCCGTGCCTAACATCAGCAGCCCGGGTAGCCTCTCGTCGCGATTCCCTGCAGCGCGCGTTCACAGGAGCATCTCGTCCGCATTCCCGTCATCGTAACGCCATGGGGAGCGACGACGAAGCGGGACCCGCGGTTCCCACCCGCGCGGCTGCTCCCTTGAAGCGGAAGCCCTTCAAGTCTTTGCACCTGCTCAACCCTGCGGGCCCCGCACCGCCGCGACAGCCGCCGCTGCACCCTGCTCCCGGCTCCACCGCTAATCCCCGCGCGCGATTCAATGCGCCCGCGTCGGCAGCTTCAGTGACGTGCAACGCGAAAGGCGCGCCGGGCGCGGCGGCGGCGGAGGCGGCGGCGGCGGACTCGACGCGGTACTACAGCGTGATGTACTGCCCGCGCAAGCCGCACGCGAAGCGCAAGGGGCCGTGGTCGGACGGGCTGCTGAGCGTGAAGGGGCGCGCGGTGGCCGTGCAGAACATGGACGCCAAGAGCGTCGCTAAAGCCTCCGTCAGCGGCTGCGCGCACCTGAAAGAGGGCTCCACGCTCGAGGTACTCGCGCACGCGGCACGCATGCGTGCACCCACTCTCCTGGTGCCGATCTGCTGTCTAGCAGGGCGCGTGGTGTTGAGGGAGTAGGGGATGTCTGCGGCGATGTTGGTGGGCTGCTTAAGAGGGGGTCGTTTGTAAGTTGGGAAAGTCAACTTTTCTGGCCGTGTGTGCCGTTTTCCCAAGTCTTGCAAGTGCCATGCGAGCCGCAAGGCACCGTAGCGGTTCTCTCACTCTATTGAGTAGCAGCCGCGCCCGTTCACGGTGCAGGTGCCTTGAGCACTGTCGTTCTACACGGTACCGCGACTCATCGCCAAGGATCGCATACCCTGTTTGTCCCCATGCACCTATGCCTCCCCCACTTGTATCTCCTCTCCAAACTTGATCTCTCCTCTCCGCATGCGTGCCATTGCGTGATCGCATACCCTGTCTCTCGCCCTCTCTCCCCTCCGTCCACCTCTCCCCACCACGTTCCCCTTCGCCCCTCATCAGGTGGGCAAGTGGGAGGTGGAGGTGATGCACGAGGTGCCGCGCGAGCAGTACCTCGCCGGCTCATTCTTCATCCCCGCCGCCCCTGCTGCTGCTGCTGCTGCTGCTGCTGCTGCTGCTGCCGCTGCTGTCACATCCGCCGCTGCCACGGGTCGAGCAGGCAGTGGTGTTGCTGGCAAGGGCAGGAAGCGGGCGGGCGAGAGCAGCAGTGGCAGGGCGGCTGGCAGCAGTGCGGAAGGGGTGCTGGCGAACAAGTGAGTGCAGAGAGGCTCTTGGGGGACTAGATCAGACGAGGTGACGTGGAGGAATGGAATGTGGTGCACACACGGGCACCAGCAAGGGAGGGCACGTGAGGGGTTTGACTCTTTGATGCTGCGTGTGAGATTTATCCTCCTACTGTGTCAGGGTTTGCAGCAAACGCGTTTGCCAGGCGTCATATATTCTCCACCACCAGTCCGTCCTTCCACTTTCACCCCTGCATGCGCGTGCAAGTCGATGGGCTGCTGCAGAGGCCAGTGCGCTGAAACTTGTGTGTGCTCTGCTCTTTCTCCCTGCCCTCGTGCCGCCTCCACAGGAGAGCTGCGAGCATGGAGAGCCGCATGAGACTTGGCAACGAGGTATGGCCGTGGAGTGGGGTGAAAGACATGGCGGGACAGAACACCGTGTGGCGATGGTTCATGATGTGGCACTGATGCATGACGTGGCAAAGGGACCCATGAATTACTACGGGATGTAGCTCTTATCGTCGCAATGCACTCTCGCCTACCTTATCCGTGCAGAGCTGCCTCAAATGCAGCTGTCTTGCGTGTTCTCGTGTCTTGTGTTGTGGTTGCAGGATGCTGTGTGTCTCAACCCCAACCAGCACGGCAAGGGAATCTCGAAGATCTACCTTGACCCTGTGAGCCCATCTCCGCCCTGTACGCCCATGCTGCCCGTGGCTCAATCAACGTTCATGTTCATGGCCTTTCACTTTGCTGTGCTGCGATGCACTGCGCAGTGCCTAGAGGTTCGAAAACGACTGCATTCGACTGTTCGCCTGCTATTCACGTCGCGTTCTCTTTCTCATCTCAGCAGAAGCCCTTGTGTTCTACCTCTCCCCACTATTTGTCCCTCCTGATACGACACTTCCACAACGCCCCACCCGACAAATTTCATGCATTTCTTGTGGGTCTTGTACACAGCATGCACCTCTCTCTTCCCACCCCCAACCCTTCCCTCTCCCTCTGTGTGCGTGGCAGTACATCGGGGCGAGGATGCGGCCCCACCAGGTGGAGGGAGTGCGCTTCATGCTCGAGGCCGTGCTGGAGGTGCGCACGCCCGGCTGCTCCGGATGCGTGCTGGCAGATGAAATGGGTGAGCTGGCAGATGAAATGGGTGAGCTGGCAGGTTGAATGGGTGAGCTGGTAGATGAAACCAGTTAGCTGGCTGATGAAAAACAATGAGCTGTGGATGAAAACAGTGAGCTGGCAGATGGAGTGGATTTTAGGGGCAGGGGGTTCGGACTGCAATAATGGATGGGTGAGAGAGAAGGGGGAGAAAACCGTCTGACAGAAATCAAATCAGCACACTGAATAGGCGGTACCTGGCTGGCTGCGGCGCTTTATGCTTCCTCGAGCTGTGTTCTTTCCTGTTGTCTCTGACAAGCAACGCCTGTGGGGTTCCCCGTGTATGACTCCAAGCGTTCTGCACCTCCCTGCGTCTCTCCCACACAGGCCTTGGCAAAACCCTTCAATTGATAGCTCTCATCTGGACTCTTCTCAAACAGGTACGTGTGCTTCTCTCTCCTCACGCCATTGTGATTTTCTGCACCCCGCCTCGTCTACGCTCACCCTTTCTCTCCGTTGCCCCATTTGATTGACCACTGTGATGCTAGTTATTCCCATCCCTCTACCCCCGTGCCCGTTTTCCGGCGTCCCTTCCCCACCGTCCCCCCTGCAGGGCCCCCAGGGTCGCCCCTTCCTGCGCAAGGCAGTGGTGGTGTGCCCGTCCTCACTCGTTGACAACTGGGGCGCCGAGGTACTGTGTGTGGGGCATGCCACATGAGATGCCTCTCCATGCTCTCTCTGCTCTTATTGCCTTCCAATCTTTCATGCTCCCGCCCTCCATCACACTCTATCCGCATTATCCCTTTCCCCCCCACTCACACACCACACCTTATCCCCCCTTCCCCCCTCCTCCCTCTCCCGCTGCGCGCACCAGTTCCGCAAGTGGCTGGGCACGGAGCGGCTGAAGGCGATGGTGGTGAACTCCAGCTTCACTCCCACCGAGGTATGGGGGGCGCGCATGCGTGTGCGGCAATGCCGCGCACTCACGAGCCCTTGTGTGTGTGGTGGGGAGAGTGGAGTGGAGAGCAAGGGTAATGATGCAGCAGCGGAAAGAGGTGGGGAGGATTGCTGGTGCAGGGATGGAAGGGTGAGAGGATGGGACGAGTGAGCGCCTCAGCTATTGCTGTGAGCATGAGACTCCATGCGTGCTGCTTGTGCATGTGCATGGCATGGCGGGTGTGGTACAGGCTGGACGAGCACCAGCAGTGAAAAGAAGATGGAGGAAGCAAAATAACAGCAGGGCTACAGATTTAAGGATGGGGTATGACGACTTGGTGTGTGTGTGTGCGTGCAACTGCTGCGCATGCGTCTGTGGATCTGTGCATGTGTGCGTGTGTGTGTGTGCATGTGTGCGTGTGTGTGTGTGCATGTGTGCGTGTGTGTGTGTGCATGTGTGCGTGTGTGTGTGTGCATGTGTGCGTGTGTGTGTGTGCATGTGTGCGTGTGTGTGTGTGCATGTGTGCGTGTGTGTGTGTGCATGTGTGCGTGTGTGTGTGTGCATGTGTGCGTGTGTGTGTGTGCATGTGTGCGTGTGTGTGTGTGCATGTGTGCGTGTGTGTGTGTGCATGTGTGCATGCATGCGAGCATGGCATCAGGTGAGGGCCAAGATGGCGGACTTCAAGCACGCGGTGGTGTGGCCGGTGCTCATCACGTCCTACGACCTGCTGCGCCGCCTTGCACCGCTCCTTGCTGCCGCCTCCCCGCAGCTCCTCGTGTGCGACGAGGGCCACCGCCTCAAGAACTGGTGCGCGCAGGGTGGTGCGTGCATGGGGGGTGGTGCGTGCATGGGGGGTGGTGCGTGCATGGGGGGTGGTGCGTGCATGGGGGGAGGTGCGTGCATGGGGGGAGGTGCGTGCATGGGGGGAGGTGCGTGCATGGGGGGAGGTGCGTGCATGGGGGGTGCAGCTGTGCGGTTGTGCCATGGCACCCTGGGGGGAATGCTCATGCCACGCAGGCAGGCGTGCTCAGGCCAAGTGGCCGGTGCGCTGTCTTGCCAGACAAGGATGATGGAGAACGTTCAATGATAGGAAATGGGTGGATGCTTTTCCTTGTTGCAACCAGGTAACCCTTTCATCCCTGTGTTGCTCTCCCTGCAGTGCGGGCAACAAGACCATTTCGGCCCTGCACCAGCTGGGGTGCCCGCGCAAGGTGCTGCTGGTGAGTCCAACCGCACATATGCTGCAAGCGTCGCATCAACTGTTTGCGCTTTCAAGTCCCCGTGCACAACAGCATCTCACGACGTTACGCCCCTATGCACCCCAGCCCCCTCGTCTCCATATATGTAGGCCTATCTCTCTCCCTGTCCTCTCCCTTACCCCCTTCCCCCACCGACCCTGGACCCCATGACATGGCATTCGTGGAGAACCACCTCAGATTCTTCTCATCGTCCCACCCACACCTGCCCTGTCTCCGTGTGAACCCCATCCGTCCTCCTTCAGTTACGCTCCACCCTCCCTGATTCTCTCTTCATGCACATCAGCACACTCACTCATAGCCAACACAGCGCCCTGCTACCTCTGCTACACCACACCACACCACACCCACCATCCTTCCCTGTCCATCTCTCCCTGCCTCTCCCACCCCCACCTTGCTCCCCTTCACGCACTCTGCCTCCCCCCTGCCCCCACCAGACGGGCACGCCCATGCAGAACGATCTGAGTGAGTTCTTCGCATTGCTGGATCTGGTCAACCCGGGCTGCCTGGGTCCGCTGCCCGCCTTCCGCCGCATCTTCGCCGACCCCATCCAGAAGAGCCGCGACCGCAGCGCCACGTGAGTGCCCCACAGCGCTGTCAGGGCAAGCCGTCGCCCGCGAGGGCACGTGCCTTGCGCTTGAGCACCACGTGTCACTGCCACCCGTGCCCTCCTGCACCTTGCCACCTTGCCCTCCCATCTGGAGTAGCTGTGAGGGGAGGGCCGTGTCGTGTGAGTGAGAGACTGCGAGAGGCATGCGGATGAAGGGAGGCGCTTTGAGCGGGTTGCAGGGAGGACGAGTTGCGGGTACGCGGAGGCAGGCAGGGCACATTCTCACATGCACGTGCTCCAGCTCTATCTCTGGCGGATGCCTCGCATTGCCACTTCTCCCTACTTCCTACTATCCCCTCTCTCATTCCGTCCCTCCATCCCTCCGTGTTTTCCTAGCTCCCTTCCTGCCTCCCTCCCTCCGCCCCATGCACGCGCACACGTGCAGGGAGGAGGAGGTGCGGGTGGGGGAGGCGCGGTCACAGGAGCTGCAGGCCAAGGCAGCGGCCTTTGTGCTGCGCCGCACTGCTGCTGTCAATGCCGCCTACCTGCCGCCCAAATCAGAGTCAGCACTCATTCCCTTCTCCTTCTTCTCTTGCTCAACCTGCCTTCCCTAGAGCTGCTCTGTTCTGCAGTACTCACGTTTCCACACAGTCTAGATTCCCATACGTTCCCACTCTCTGAGCGTCTCAATATCCCTCATTTTCCTCGTCGTTTTCACTCATCTCCTCTCCTCTCCTCCTCTCCACCTCCGTCCTCTCTCCTCTCTGTTCCACGCTCCCACATGGCCACGCATGGGCAGGTACATAGTGTTCTGTCGCCTGCACGCACAGCAGGCGCGCCAGTACTCTGACTTCCTGCGCTCCACTGTACGTGCCTCGCCTCGCCCCTTCCATTCACCACTGCTCGCCACACTCAACAGCTCTGTCTTCCAGTGCGTGTGGCACATGGCGTGTGGCGCATGGCGTGTGGCGTGCGGCGTGCGGCGTGCATGCCGCATGGATGTAGCCCTGTCTCCCCCACCACCTATCACTCCTCTACTTGCCTTTTCCTCCAGGACACCACACCCTCTCGCCCCTTTTTCTACCGCCACCCCTTGCAGCACATGTACACTCCGCTTCTGCCCCTTCCCTCCCGGGTGACTGCATCCCTTCCACCTTCCCCACCCCCCGCTCTCCCCCCCCGTGTGCATGGCAGCACGTGCGGTCGCTGCTGTATGCGGTGGCGCCCGGCACCACAGCCAGTGCGCTGACGGCCATCTGCCACCTCCGGAAGCTCTGCCTGCACCCCGCCCTCGCTGCCTCCCCCGTCCCCTCCTCCCCCCGCCCGCGCTCCCCCTCCCCTGCTACCTCCACCTCTGCTGCTGGGGGAGAGGAAGGGGGAGATGAGGAGGAATGGGCGGGGGACGAGGAGCATGAGGAGGTGGCAGAGGAGGAGCAGGAGAATGCAGAGTGGGGAGCAGAGGGAGGGGAGGTGGGGGGATGTGAGGGAGGGATGGCAGGAGGGGTTGCAGCAAACGAGGCAGCGCAGAAGCGCAATATGTTCAGGTGAGAGGTCCCCTGATCAGGCCCATCCCAAACCAAGCACATCCCTTGGATAGTAACCGCACTTGCTGTCAGGTTCACGGTAACTACAAGCATGTTGATCCCGTGTTTCTCTCGCAATCCTCCCTCCTCACCCTCCCCCCCCCTCACCCCGCCAGGCGCCCATCCATGCTTCCACAGGCGTCCCCATCCGCGCAGGGCGCGCCCCTGTCGCGCACAGCAGCAGTGGCGGCGTTTGCAGCAGCGCTCAAGTCACTGGGCGCTGATGCATGGCGCCTGAGCGGCAAGCTGCACGTGCTGGCGCTGCTGCTGCAAGCCATACTGGGGGGGCCCGCGGGAGAGAGGGAGGACGAGGGCAGTGCGAAATCGAACATCACCGACGCCAGCAGTGACACTCGTGCCCCTTTCAGTGCTGCTGGTGCTGCTGGCGGGGGTGGCAGTGGGGATAAAGTGGTGATAGTGTCAAACTTCACACGAGCGCTTGATGTGATCGAGGTGAGTGAGTGGCACATGTCTGGAAAGCAGTGCACGGGGCGTGCAAGCAAGGCGCGACATGCAGGGGGTGGCAGTGAAATGTGCTTGCACCTATCATTGCACCACTCAACACTAGTGACCATCTTGCAGTGCCATGCAGGGGTCTCTCGCTGAGAGGCACCACACACTCAGCCGCACCACCCGCCTTGCAATCATGTGTGTCCATTCACTGCTGCCTTCCCTCACACCATCTCATACCACTGCCCTCCCACCACCCCACGGCACGGCACCAGGCCATGTGTGAGTCGCACGGGTGGAAGACAACGCGCCTGGACGGCAGCACAGAGGCAGCGGCACGGCAGGCGCTGGTGTGTGCGTTCAACACGGGGCGCGACGGCAGCAGCTGCTTCCTGCTGTCGTCCAAGGCGGGCGGGGCGGGGCTGAACCTGGTGGGCGCCAACCGCCTCGTGCTCTTCGACCCCGACTGGAACCCCGCCAACGACCACCAGGTGCGCGCTCAGAGGGGGTGGGGGGAAGGGTGGGGAGGGAGGGTGAGAGGGAGGGGATGAGCATTGGGTAACTCACCGTGGCTTGGTCTTGGTAGTTGTGGGGGGAGGTGTGGGAGGGATGTAGTGTTGGAGGGTGGTGTGTGAGGAAGTGGGTTTTGAATGGCTGGGACTTAACCTCTGCCTGAGAACACGCATGATCGTAGTGAAGGCATTGAGGGGTAATGGTGGCTGGTTTTTAAATCGCTAAGGGCACAGAGACACGCGTGCGCACGAGCGTGCACACACACTCAGGCACTTGTACGCACACGCAAGCTGACGTCTGGGCATGACGTCTCTATTCCGCCCCAATACATGCAGGCCATGGCGCGCGTGTGGAGGGACGGGCAGAGCAAGCCGGTGGTGATCTACCGCATGCTCGCCACTGGCAGGTGAGAGGCAGGTGAGAGTGGCGCCCGCAATACGAGGCCACAGCCAGCTCAGGCTTGCCAGGGCGCTCGCAGGGCGATTGGGGCGGACAGTGGAGTTTTTTAATGCAGGGGCATGGGATGAATTAAGTGGTGGGCGCTGACGGTTGAGAGACAAGCGGCAGCGAGGGGCGGTTGAGAGGAGACGAGGAGTGGTGGGAGCAGTATGAGGGAGAGATTGGAAATGTGTGAGGCTGTGCGGATGCGTCTCATGGACTGGTGAGAGGCGAGGTGGAGAGGAAGGAGGTGGAAGCGGGGTGGGGTATGGAGTGTGTGAGGCAGTCGAGGAATGTGAGGCATATGAACAACCGGGGGCGTATGCAACTGCGCCGTTCCCTGCATGCGCCCAACACCACATACATGTAGACTTCAGCGTTCAGCCCCAGGCAAAATGTGCAGCACATGCTCATGTGTTGCACCTGTGGCACGTGTGGCAGCATCGAGGAGAAGATCTTCCAGCGCCAGCTCATGAAGGGCGATGTCGCCACCGCTGTGGGCGATGGCAGCGCACCGCCGGGCACCGGCAATGCTGGCAGGGGGGGCAGCGGCGGCGGTGGCAGTAGCAGCAGCAAGCGTGGGGCGGGGCACTTCACTAAAGAAGAGCTGCGCGAGCTGTTCACTCTGGAGCAGGTGAGGGCGGTGAGAGCCGTGAGGGCATTTAGCGGTGGTACTCTTTTCCGCAGCAGGTGATAGTGAATCTTCCAGTTGGGGATGGGAGTTCTTTCCAACCCCATTGCTCGTTAAGCCCATTGTGTTTCAAGCCCATTGGTAGAGTGAGCACTCTCAGCATTGAGTCGTCGCAAGTTGGCTTTGCCAGGTGCAGTCGTATGAAGTGCTTCACAGGCAACGGGGCGGGCGTCACATGCACGGCAGCACATGAGGGTTCTTCTAATGTGTCCCTGTGCTGTGTGCTGCAGGCCACAGCGTGTGACACGCTGGACCTGCTGCTGCGCTCCAACTCCCCTCTCTCCGCGAAATGGCTCGCTGCCACCAGCGCTGCCGCGCCTGCTGGGAGCACCATCTCTGGCTCCACTAGTGTCAGCTCTTCTGCTGCTGAAGCAGATACAGGCGCTGGGAGGGGCGGGTTGGCAGCACGCATTGCAGATGGGCCGCTGAGGGACGTGGTGGGCATGTGTGAGGGGGTGACGTTCGTGTACCATGACTCCACTGGCTCCCCAGGCCGCACTGAGACGCCCACACAAGGTGCTCGTGCTCATGGTGATGGCACGGGGCTGGCAGGCCCGGGAGGAGCTCAGCACAACAGGCAAGCAGCAGGAGGAAGCAAAGAGGAAGAGGAATGTGAGGAGGAGGAGCATGCAGTGTTGAGAGGTGCTGCTGGTGGTGGTGGGGAGAGACGCAGGAGCACGGAGAGGCGAGTGGAAGAGCAGGGCAGTGACGGCACAGGTGGAGGGGCGGCTGTGGAGTTGCTGACGTTTGATGCACTTGAAGGTGTTTCTGATGACGTCATGGACTTGTTTGGCTCCGATGTCTTCTGACCAGAGGACACCTTTCAAAGTGGGGGAGTGTGAACCGGGTGATACCTAATGGTGGAATGGTGTACAATTGATCGATAAACTGATGTAACAACTGGAGGCTCTGAAATGGGAAGGCGTTAATTGTTACTGGTAGTGGAGAATGACACATTGTACTCCTCCAGCATAAGGTGCCCTTGTGCGAAAGGGACGAGGCAAGGGGAAATTCTATCCAACACCCTGCTTATTTGCATTTTCATTTCACCTCCGCTCATCCTCCCTCTCCCTTGCATTGCAAGCTGCAACGCCCTTCCTGCTGCAACGCCCTTCCTGCTGCAACGCCCTTCCTGCTGCTGCCCAATGAGTCAAGGCCCCTAACATGAGCAGAGGAGGGAGAAGCGGCACCCACCAGCCCCGCAGCATGAGAGCCCTCTTCTGACTCGAGCTTCTTGTCTTGTCCCAGCCGAAACACAGCACTGTAGGAGCGACCCCTGTAATCAGGACAGAGGAGAGCTCTACGGCGGCGAGAAACGAAATCACACCACCGATAAAAAGGGCAAAAAGGAAGGGCCCTGCAACCGCTAGGCCTTCTGCGGGTGCGAACAACGCCGAAACCTGCAAGCGAAATAGAGACGACGGGGAAGCCAAGAGAACACGCCTTGGATATGAACGCTGCAAGTGTGCCCCTGCGAGGGTTTAGGGTTATCATGCGAGCTGGGATGCAGGCTGCTCCGCAGTGAAACATGCAAACACGCAGCAGGAGCATGCGGCACCACAGCCTACTCACCACAACCAGCCCAACGAATACACTGATAAGGAACCGCGAAGAGAGTGAAGGAGCTCGTCGGTCCAACCGTTGATGGGGAGGGTAACCACAGGACAGGGTGCATTTAATTGTCGTTAAGAAATGCACGGCACGTGATATCTGACCTATGTGATATGGGTGCGCATAAGTACTTGCAATCTCCACGTGGAGTGAGGACAAGCGCGGCACGCCGTTTGCATCTGGAGCATTCGCAGCCTGTGCTCGTGCTGCGTTCCAGCCTAAGATGGTGAATGGGACCCCGTAGTCCTTAAGTTGCGGCTCGGCTCTTCAGGGGAAGAAACGGGAGGGTGACAAGGGTGCGAGATGCGGATGGAGATGGGAGCAGAAGCGAGGGCGACGAGCAGGGGAAGCGGGGCAACGGGGGGGAACGAGGGCGACGGACATGGCGATGAAAATGGGAGAGGGGAGGGCAACGATCAAGGGAAGCAAGGCCGACGGGGGGAAGCAATGGCGACGGGGGAAAACAAGGGCGACGGGGGGAAGCAAGGGCGACGGGGGGGAGCAAGGGCGATGGGGGAAAGGGATGGCGACGAGGGGAAACGAGGGCGACGAGGGGAAGCAAGGGCGACGGGGCGATGGGCAGGGAAAAAAAGAGAAACGAGCAGCGTAAGTGCGGGCGACGGGCAGCGGAAACGTGGGCGTCGAAGACAATTACAAGCTTAGATCACACATGCTAGAATCTCAAGACTGCAACATCGGGGATCCCTGTGTCGAAGCACGAAGACTCAACTTGGGCAATGTGCAAGTGCGCGCCGTTTCGCTCGACGCGCATTTTGTCCTTGATCTCCGGTACTCTTCCCTCCGCATGGTGCGAGCTAGCTAGGGCAATGTAATTAAAGGCTAGTCGAAATAGGAGCGCGGCGGGACACCACACTATAATCTGCCGAAACAGTCTCGACCCAAAATGCAAAGCACAAGTTGCAAATCACAATTTTGGTTTAGCTCGCGAATCGAGTGAACAAAAAAGAAATTCGCCTACACTGTTACTTGCTGCGAAACGTATGTGATAGTCTCCCCTCTCTACACGACCTAACTCGACCTCCTTAGTTTAGGGAGCCCACTAGTTTTAGGGCAGCTATGGGAGTATCGATCAGCTATGGGCTAACTCAGCCTCCTAGCAACTTGATCAGAATAACGTCGTTGCAAGAAAGTTACAAGCTACAAAACACGCATTTCAAAATTTATCCACCGAGGGACCCTGTATCGAAGCACGAATTCCCAACTTGGACACATTCGAATTCGCTGGACCAAGTTCGCTGGATTCCATTACCACCAGTCCCAGTTCGAAGCATTCGGTTACTCAATCTTCGCATTCTTTCCAATCCCGAATCGCGTAGCAGCCGCGCCTCGATTTCACACCCGAACATTGATTCTGGCACAAAAAATCGAGTTCGGTCTCTCCATATCTCCATCATAAATACCTCCCAGCACAAGCAGCAAATCGTCAAACCTGCTCATTCCTCAATCCTACCATCTGCAGCGGCAGCCCGCCTTACTCAGCTTGTACGCAGTCTCCCGCCAGCATCATGGCTGCTCTCTCCTCCGCCACCGCGGTCTCCGCCGCTTCCGCATTCTTCGGCGCGAGCGCGGAGCTCGCGTCGAAGGTCCGCAACGTGGAGTGTCGCGTGACGATGCGCAAGGCCGCCGGCAAGGCTGACAGCCTGAGCCAGTGGTACGGCCCGGACCGCAGCCTCTTCCTCGGCCCGTTCAGCGCGCCGCCCGCGTACCTGAAGGGCGAGTTCCCCGGCGACTACGGGTGGGACACGGCGGGGCTGTCGTCGGACCCCGAGACGTTCGCCAAGAACCGCGAGCTGGAGGTGATTCACTCGCGCTGGGCCATGCTCGGCGCGCTTGGCATCGTCTTCCCCGAGCTGCTGGTGCGCAACGGCGTGCCGCTGCAAGAGGCGGTGTGGTTCAAGGCGGGCGCGCAGATCTTCTCCGAGGGCGGGCTCGACTACCTGGGCAACCCCGGGCTCATCCACGCGCAGAGCATCCTCGCCACGCTCGCCGTCCAGGTGCGTTGGTGCGCTCGCCGTCCAGGTGTGTTCGTCGTTCAGGTTCGATCGTCGTTCAGTGCTCTCTTACCTGTTCCTTCAATGCGCTCGCCGTCCCGATACGCTCCCGTTATTCTTTTAGTTTTAGGCCGTTCTCTTCCCACATTCCCTGCTTTGGCCCCGTCAGTTCCTTCGGGGCCTTTTGGCCTTTCCTTGTCGTAAAAAGTCGCGATCTGCAAACACACACGCTGACGCATCTCTGTGTAACGTGGTAACCCGATGCGTCGTGCTGCAGGTGGTGCTGCTGGGCGCGGTGGAGAGCTACCGCGTGGGCGGTTTGGAGGGGTTCCAGGAGGTGGAGGATCCGATCTACCCGGGCGGCGCGTTCGACCCGCTGGGGCTGGCGGACGATCCCGACGCGGCGGCGGAGCTGAAGGTGAAGGAGCTCAAGAACGGCCGCCTCGCGCAGGTGTCGGCGCTGGGCTTCTTCGTGCAGGCCATCGTGACGGGCAAGGGGCCCCTCGAGAACCTCGCGGACCACCTCGCGGACCCCACTGCCAACAACGCGTGGGCGTACGCGCAGAACTTTGTGCCCGGCGCTTAGAGGACTGGAGAGAGGTTCGAGGAGCTTGGAGGAGTTGGAGGGAGTTGGTGGATGTCCGGGATTTTGTGAATCTGCACATATCTGTACAGCCAGGATTTGTGGTATATGTATGATTATGAGGTTTGAAGTTCAGTCCGAATCCTTTCAGCTCATTCCGGGAACTTTCCATACAACACAACCCCAACTACTGAGGTGAATTTGCCACTGACTTGGTAGCTCTGAAACGCAACTAGGTAGAAAATCAGAATACGGTAGAAAATAGCTCAAGGTAGCATCCAGGCATCCAAGCTGGCCTTCCCCTTGGTCCCAGGCATCCACCCAAGGTAGCTAGACCATACGTCAAACACACGACCCTCCTCATTTCCCAGACTAACTCACAGAACTTCTGCACACCACATTTAGGGCGCGTCAGATCCCCAAACACACTCAAATTTGTGATTGAGCTGTTTTTTAGTCGACCATAATGGTCGACATTTTCTTCGCGAAAGCCGACGGATTGGTCGAAAATGAGAGTGTCGACGAGCGCGAAGTGAAAAGCCATTGACACGTTGATTTGACGAAGTTTTAAACCCAATGCAGCTGCGAAGGTGAGTAGAATGTGGAGTGACATGTGGCGGCTAACAGGAGCAAAGTCCTGCCGTAGTCAACTTCCTGCTTTTTATCGAACCCAACTAGCCTTGAATCGTTCGATCGTGCCGTCCGCCAGGCCCTACGTTATCAGGATTTTTTCCCTGAAATTCCTGATTTACAGGGTTTTTTTTTCCCTACCCTGAATTTCCAGTGTTCAGCTTTTCCTAGGGCTGATTTTTCAGCCTTCACATGCCACATGACTCTGAACTTTCAGCAATTTTTTTTTAGTGACACTGATGCCTTTACGTTGTAACGAGTTTGACCCTGAAAGCGAATCCTACAAGGTCCGAGTGTACTTGACCGGAAGTACAGGGAATATCAGATTCCCGCGGTGTCAGTGTTATAGTCACAATAGCCGTGAATGTGCCTAAAACGAAAGATAGAGTGCACAGACGGATTTCCGCACAGCGGCTTCAAACGTTGATAGCGTTCTGCTCACAGCTGCAAATGACTTGATTCAAATTGGATCTGGAGCGTCTTGACGTCGCCTACAATACGCAATTTAGATTGCACGATTTCATAAAGAATTGACGACACAACGTCGGTTTGAACGAACGGTACTATGGCAGCCACTATAGTCTTAGAACACAAGATAGGAAGAGTTACGAGTTGGAAATGACTCCCAGCTCCTACAAACCCCAAGAGCCTAGGTACAGTGATGTGGAACAGTGCCACACTGTCCCCAACCACGAAGGGTCTCGAAACTACCCTTCACTAGGGCCTACACCAAGTGAAATGTTACACTACACAAAGTAATGTAACTATCTTCAATATCTTGAGGTGTACCCTTTTGGCAAGCTTCGAAATCACTTGAGGCTTGACACCAAGGCTCGGGCTCTTCATCACAAACTCATCCTTGAGTTCTTGATGGGTCTGCTGCACACACCTGCGACACGCCGAACGTTCGACACAGGACAAAATAGAAACCGCGCACGACAAAATAGAAACCGCGCGCGAGACACAAACGACC